AGAGAATTCACTTATTCAAATTTAAACAGTCTAAAAGAAGAACTAAATATATTCTTTAAAACACGAAAATATATCTCGTGTAAATGAAGGTAATGTATTCAGAAAAAAGGTGATATAATAAATACAATACAGACAAATTAAAAAATTTCAATTTTAAATTAACGTGAAATTTTACATTTACCTAGGAAGAAAAAAACTTTTTAAGAGTATACATTTTGAACCTTAAACATTGATTGCGAAAAATTTAATGGTTTTTTCGGTTTTGGGAGAACGGAGAAAAACATTTTTCGATGTTGAGCATCGATGCTAACTTCAGGTACCTAAAGAATATTTTTTCTGAATTAAAATTCGATTAGATTAAATTATTTTAAATAAAACTTTAATCAATTGAAAATTTTGTTAAATAAAAATTCAATGACCTCATACCTACTTCGTTAAGTAAAAATTGGCATCAACCTGGAATAAAATTTTTTAAGTTTTTTGTAAAAGTAAAAACATTTATGAAAATCTATAACTCACAACAAACAAAAGAATAGTACATTATGCAACAAACGAGGTTACCTCCCTTGTTCCATACTTTGCTTTATACAACAAAGGCGTATTATGGTTACTCTATATGCTACCTGTACCGGTGCATGTTAAATTCTCCCATATAACCCAGCTGGTCAATAAAGTAACCATTATAGCCCTAGGGAGATAAAGGGTATATTATTAACCGCTCCCAGGTCAATAAAGTACCCTTTATCTCCCTAGGGCTATAATGGTTACTTTATTGACTGCTGTGTTATAAGGGGGAACTTAGTACGCGCCTGTACAGGTAGATAAAGTGACCATAATACGCCTGAGTTGTATAAACACTTTTAACCATTTCTCGAAATTTAAAATTTTTATAACTTTTTTTACAATAAAAAATTTTTGCATCCTATTAAAAAAAATTAATAACTCAAAATTATTTTGTTAGAAATTAATGAAAATTTTTTTGGGAGTTAATTAATATGTATACTCTTTTAAATAAAATTATTGCAAAAAAAAATTTCAAAAATTTATAATTTTTCATAACAATTTTACAAATAATGTGTATTATTTTTATGCTTTCTAGAGCAAGCATCTTAATGAAATTTATACATAACATACCTTAGACTCTTATTCTTTTGTTACCGAAAAAAAAATTTCGTATTTTTAATTGTAACCTGAGATTTTGAACTTTTTGTTGCGTCGTGCACCGACCGCCACAGTGGTTTAAAATCGAAAAACTGAGTTCAAAATTAAATCTTAACCAATTTTAATCTTCTTTTTTTTAAACAGTTGTTATTAAATTCCTAAGAGATTCCTCGAGACCGATTTAAAAAAAAGATTGCATTTTTTTTATTTATTTATAAACATTAAAAAACTTCATTTCTTCATAAAAATAGTACTCCTTTATAATATAATGTTTACATTCATCGCTTTAAAAAAATTAATACAAAATAATGAAAGAAACATTATTCATCAAGGTCAGTTAAAAAAATTGTTTATATTTGTTATAAACAATTTAGAGACTAAAAACTTGACGGTTCAAAAACTGATATATTATATAGTTTTAAAAGTTATGTTTATAAAGCAAAAGAATATTTTATGATACCTTTAAATGAGATATTGAAAAAAATTATTTTTATTAATTGTATGTCAAATTATAATTTTCTTGCAAACAATAACAAAATTAGACATTTCTTAATTTTCTTAATGAATTTCTATATATATATATGTATAAGTATTAGAATAATAAAAGAATAGAAATAATTAACAAAATGTCCCATTTGTTAATTTGTTTGATTAAATAAATAAAAAATAAACTTTTTTTAAAAATTAATACCTAAATTAAAAAATGTGTACAAAATATAGTCATATATACTAGATTCATTAATAAGACGATTTTATTTAATTAAAATGATAAAAAGCACTAATATTTTCTTGAAAAAGTGCAGTCATTAACATTCACATTTTATTTTTAGCATTTGTTAATTAAGACTACTTCTACTACTTTTAAATGTAACTTGGTTATATTAAAATTTTTTTGTTTAAGAAAGAGGATTACTTTGTTGTAAAAATTAACAATACGAGGTATTTGTTAATTTAAATTGATTAAATAATTAAAAGATTTAATTTCATTATTTCTATTTCAGAAGGAATATGTTTTAAGGTTTTATTTGCCAACTGCATAAATTAATAAGGAATTTCCTCAAAAAGCAAGTAAATTAATTATTTGTCTATTAAAAATGTTTACCAATTAATTAATTAAAAAATAATTTTTTTCAATATCTTAATTAAAGATATCATAAAATATTCTTTTGTCTCATAAACATAATTTTTAAACTATAAAATACAGCAATATTTGAATAATCAAGTTTTCAGTCTCTAAATTGTTTATAACAAACATGTACAATTTTTTTCAACTGACCTTGATGAATAATGTTTCTCTGATTATTTTATATTAATTTTTTTCTTTAAGCGATAAATGTAAATATTAATTAACTACCAGAAAATCCCCATTAATTTCTAACAAAATAATTTGAGATATTAATTTTTTTTAATACGATGCAACAATTTTTTATTGTAAAAAATTATAAAAATTTTAAATTTTGAAAAAATGGTTAAAAGTGTTTCTTTAGTTCGTTGTGAGCTATAGATTTTTATAAATATTTTTATTTTTACAAAAAACTTTAAAAATTTTATTCTAAGACCCTTTTAGAACTTTTAAGAAATTTTTAAATTGATATAATCTAAATTGTAGTCTTTAAATTTTAATCATTTATTTGGAAATAATAATTGATATAGAAGCCAAAAGCAGGGTGTCTACTATTTTCGTTCAACAAAATTTCCGGTTTTTTCCCGACTTTGTCCTAATTTTTCCCGGTTTTTTTCTCATCAAATTTAAATTTACTTGATTTCAAACATAAATAAATCTACAAATGTCTTCAAAAATTGTTAATAGAGTTTTTATGAATAATTAAATTCTTTTGACGAGTTTCATTAAATTTTTTGAAAATAATGTTTTTTCAATAATTTTAATTAAAAATTTGGAAAATAATTGAATTAAACAAAGTATTTTTTAAATTTTTTAAAATAATCTTGTCTGTTCATAATTATTATTGAAAATTTGATTAATTCCATTTTATTAAAATGTATTGATACTAATTGAATTTCTGCAAAGAAATTTACTATTTATAAAACTAATTGAATCCTTCCAAAGAATGTTATTATTTATGAAAATAATTGAATTCTTGCGAAGAATTTTATTAAAATTTTTTGAACATTCAGAAATTTAAAATTATAAAAATTTAAGAGAAGTTCAATAATTGCAATTATTGAATAATGATTCAATAATATAACTTTTAGAAGCAAAAAATTTATTTAAAACTTTAAGATGGACTTTATATTTTAGAAATAAAATTATGATTACGGTGACTAACTTCCTTTGATTATTTTCAAAAATTTTAAATAAAATTCTTTCAAATGAATTTAATTATTTTTAATAAAATGTAAAGAAATTTCAATCATTTCAAAACTTTTCAATTATTTGTTTATAAAAATGCAATTATCTTGAAACAATAGAATTGAAAAATTTCAAAAATCTTATTTTTCAGAACTTTCAAAAAAACTTTGCGAAAATTCAATTTTATTAAAAAATTTTAAGTGTGTATCTTTTTTTTTAAAACTATTAAAAAAAATTTAATTATTAATTTTCGCACTAAGAAACATGAATACATTAGAATGTGACTATATAAAATTCAATTTTTTATCAATTAATTAATTAAAATACTTTGAAAATTCGATTCGTTAAAAAGATTTTAATGAAATTCTTTTACAAATTTAATTATTTTCAGTTGAATTTCACAAAATTTCTATTAATTCGATAATTGGGCGTTTCTATATGAAAAGCGCCCGTGCGTCACTATTATTAAATAGGCTGTATCTTCTTTTTCTAATTATTATTAAAATGAATTTTTTTTAATTATGATGTATTAAGAAATATAGGAATTTGTCCAATTTTAATTTCAATTTTACAGCATAATGTATGAAAGATGTACTATTTTTAATGTCGTGATGCACGGACTATATATTTAAATCAGTGACTGATTTTTTACTATAAAATTAATTATTTTTAACTAATTCAAATTTGAGGCTCCGGATCTTAAAAGGGCACTTTCAGCATTGATTTTAAATGGTAAAAGTGCCCTTTTAAGATCCGGAGCCTCATTTAGAGAACAATAATATAAATATCTATAAAAATTGAAATATAAAACGATTTTTTAAACAAATTAAAATAATAAAACTTTTTTTAATTTTGTGAAACAATTCCCGGTTGGCATTAAATTTCTGGTTTATTCCTGGTCAAATTAAGTTCCCGACTATTTCCCAGATTTCCCGGTTAGTAGACACCCTGAAAAAGTCAGTCACTAATTAAAATAGTAATATTTCTACTGATCATTTAAATAAAAATAACTGATTGTCAGTTAGAATTAACTGACGTTTCAGTAAATTTTTTAATTAGTCAAGTTTAACCAATTTTTCAGTTATTTTTTTTACTGAAAATCAGTTTGTTTTGAACTGATTCAGAAGCTATGAAGAAGTTAAAACTATGATTTTTAACTGAATCAAATTTAGAGAGTATTTCTGTAGTTACTTGATATAAACTAAAAGAAACAAGAATTTAAAAATTGAACTACAAGAATTATTAAGAATTATTAAAGAATGTAATAAAGACTCTCAAAGAAAATTTGTTTACTTTGCACAAAAATAAAGACAAGTAATGCAATTTCAACAAAAAAATAGACATTTATAAACACTGTGGTGGGAGCGAAAAATTTGATATCTCAGTTGTTTTTAAAGTCTGCGTGAATTTTTATTTAATCATAATTCAAGAAGGTGTAAGGAAACGCAAGAATTAGTCATTAATAAGTGTTGTTAGTTATAAATAAGTTATTAAGAAGCGATTGAATGAAGAGAGGAATTTGACTTACCAATGTTTACTATGCGTATTCCCTCATCCTCGAGGAATTTGAGAGCGACAGAAACGTTCTCCAGTTTCTGGGATCGAAAGGTGGGTCGTTTATTATGTTTGGGAAGGTGTTTTTGTGAGAGAACCTCAACCAAACTGACGAGCCTGAGACCATCGGAGAGATCGGACTCGAGATCCCCAATGTGCTTGCTGACACATTTGAGGTGTTCGTTGGCCCATCTGGTGAAGGTGTTCTGCTGTATCCGCTTCCACTCGGCATCTTCTGCTAATTCCCGCTCGACCATGTCTTCCTCCTCAGCCGCGGAGTTATCGCACATGACTGATTTTTTTTCTTCATTCATTTTATCGGCAGGCCTAGAAGAATCGTCAGAAGCAGTGAGGTGGGGTATCCCCTCCGATTGACAGCTCGACGGCTCAAAGTACCGGCAGCAGCACGACACCGGTGTATAGCTGATACGATATCAAAACTTCTTGGCTCGGTCGTCAATACAGTGAGATCAGAGAATTTTTAGCTCCTGTTCCTATATACTCGCGCAATCTGTTGCTAAATCTTCGAGTCTGTCTTGAAATTCGGTCCTCTCTACAGCCACGGCAATAACCGTTGGAGCCACTTTAAAAATAAGAAAGTTCAAAAGTTATTTTATTAGAACATAATCAAGTTTACAAGACTAAATTCATTAATTAGAATAAACTCAGGCATTCCAAATAATCCTTTTTCCCCCTTTCGTCCCCTTTTTTCAATTTTATCACCTTCTTCACCTTTTTGATAATTTGTCACCTTTTTCCCCTTTTTTGGCGATTTGTCCCCTTTTTCACCTTTTTCTAATAAAATAAAATAAACAAGTTTTTCTTTTTTTGAAATCTTTTTTAAAGTATAAAAGGAGATTTTAAGTTAAAAACACTAAACAAATCGAATTTTGGACAAGTTCAATTATAGTCTTTTTAAACCTTCTCAACAAAATTTCAACTATTTTCAAAACTAATAAAATTCTTCTCCAAAATTCAATTATTTTGAAAAATTTTAATAAAATTCATGGCAAATTTCAATTATTTTCAAAAATTTTTCTCAATTCAATGTCTTTCAATATCTACTATTTTATTTTGAATATAATTTTAAACAAATTCTTCGGAGAAATTGAAATATTTTCAAAAATAATAAAATTTTCACAAGCATTCAATTATTAAAAATACAATTACCTCGAATAATTCAATTATTTTAAAAAAGATTAAGAAAAACTTCGAAATTCAAGTATTTTTAATATCTACTATACTACTTATTTATAAAATTTTCCAAAAGAATTAACTTATTAAAAAAAAATTGGAAAAATTCTTCTCAATCATTCAATTATTTTCAAAAATAATAAATTCAATTATTTTTCAAAATATTAACAACATTCTTAGCGAAAATTTAATTACTTTCATAAATAGTAAAATTCTTGTTAAGAGTTCAATTATTTTACAAAATTTTTTCGCAGAAACTCAATTGTTTAAAATAAAAATTTATCAGATTTGTTGTAAGGAATTTAATTATGTTTACATTGTAAATAAATAAAATGTTGTAAATAAATTATGTTTACATTGTAAATAAATAAATATCTAAATAAATAAATAAAGAATAACATTTTTCAGGAATTGCTCAAAAAATGTAATTATTCTTTAAAATATGATTTCAATTCCTCGAAAAAATCAATTATTTAAAATTCTTTGAAAGAATTATTCAATTATGTATATCGATAAATAACAAAATTATTCCCGAAAATTCAATTATTTTGAGACATTTTAATAAAATTCTTTACAAAATTCAATTATTTTCATAAATAACAATATTCATCACAAGCATTCAATTATTATTTTTAAAAGTAATAAATTTTTTCTTGAAAAATCAATTATTTTAAAAAATTCTAATAAAATCGTTCGCAAGAATTAAATTACAGGGTGTCTAACAAGGATTGAGAAAATATGATAACTGACATATTTAACAATAAATTAATATTTAATGATAGAAACAAACGATAATAAAAATCTTCTAAGTTTTATTAGATTAGAAAAATTTTTTATTCACAAAAATTCTAATTTTTGTATCAATTTTTAGAAATTTCCCTGACTTTTAATGAAATTTTCTGACATGCCCTGACTTTTCCCTGACTTCCTTGACCGTTAAACACTCGCTCTGTTAATACTCTCTAAATCTGAATATGTGAAAATTCACATATTTGTACGTTATAAGTCGTCTTCTCGATTAATAAGTGCATATGCACTTATAATAAGTGAAATTTCACTCAGAATAAGTGAAAAATTCACTTATTTATAAGTGTATATGCACTTATTGATCGAGAGGACGACTTATAACGTACAATAAGTGAAATTTCACATATTCAGATTTAGAGAGTAGTCTCCACGCTTTGGTAAAAAATCTAAAATTATCAAAAATTCGAAAAACCCAATTTTTTAAAATTCAACATTTTTTCTTCTTTTTTATGACATTTAGCTTCATTATTCTAAGTTTTATTACATTAAAAAAATTTTTTATTCATAAAAATTTTAATTTTTGTATCAATTTTCACATTTTAGAAATTTTCCTCACTTTCAATGAAATTCTCTGACATTCCTTGACTTTTCCCTGACTTCCCTGACCGTTAGACAGTCTGAATTATTTTCATAAATAGTAAAATTCTTTGTAAAAATTCAATTATTTTATAAAACTTTTTTGCAGAAATTCAATCATTTAAAAAAAAATTTATCAAATTGTTGTAATGAATTCAATTATGTTTATAAATAATAAAATTCTTCTCAGGATTTCAATTATTTTTGAAAAAATTATTAAAATTCTTTTCAAGAATTCAATTATTTACATAAATAATCAAATTAATGTTAAGAATACATTTTTAAAAAATTTGAATTAAATTCTTTGCAAGAATTCAATTATTTTCAAAATTGTTTCGCAGAAGTTTAATTATTTCAAAAATTTTTATCAAATTCTTGTAAAGAATTCAATTATTTTTCAAGATATTAACAACATTCTTAGCAAAAATTCAATTATTTTCAAAATTTTTTCGCAGAAATTCAATTATTTAAAAAAATATTTATCAAATTGTTGTAAAGAATTCAATTATTTTTAGAAAGAATAATAATTATTATAGAATAATATAGAATAATAATAATTATAGAAAGAAGTAACTTAAGTTACTTAAGTCTAAAATGAATTTTAAAAAATTTCCAAAAGAAGACAATTATTTAAAAACAAATTTAAAAACATTCTACACAAACATTTAATTATTTGTATAGATAATAAAAATTTTACAAGAATTGAATTATTTACAAATTTTTTATTTTCCTCGCAAGAATTCAATAATTTTCATAAATAATAAATAAAAGTCATTGCAGAATTTCAATTATTTTTATAATACAATTTGAATCGAATTTCTCGAAAAAAGTAATTATTCTTAAAAATTTTATTAAAATTTGTCGAAAGAATTTCCTTATTTAAAAATTTGTTGATAAAATTCTTTATGAGAATCCAATTTTAAGAAACATTCAATTATTTCAATAAATTATTTTTCTATTTAAATAATTAAATTCTCGTAAAATTTTCTAATAAAAATTGGTTTAAAAATGAATTTCAGTTCAAGTTTTAAATAATTGATTATAAAAGAATTATAGTATACATTTTTAGAAATAATTGAAATTTGTAAAGGTTTCGAATTAAACAATTCTAAAGAATTAATTTTATTGAAAAAGTTTAATTGAATTCTTTTTAAATTATTTGAAATTTTTATTTTCTAATAATATATATTGAATTAAAGAATTTCCGAATAATTGTCGAAATTTTGTAAAATTGAATTGTAAACAAATTTAAAAATTCTCAAAAAACTTATTCAAAAATTATTAAAGATAATTGATTTAAAGAAATATTACAATTTTTGGGGACATTTTTTAATTTGCTTCTGTCTGTTTGACAATTAATTTCTATTGAATGATATGGTTAACCAAAAATAGCAATTATCTTGCAGTAACTTGTGAATAAAAATTATAATATTTGTCTATTACCTGTTTCCTTTGTCATTGTCTTGTACCCAATTTTGGATAAGAATCATCTTGCAGTAAAATTTTAGTAAAAATTATAATCTATTGTTTGTCAATCGTTTAGTTTCCAGTAAAAAAGTATTGGAACTCTGGGTTTGTCTGGGTTTTACTGGTTTTACTCGGTGTTGCATCTAGAGATGGGTACGTAATGTACTTCATTTTCACACCTGGGTTTGTTACGTATGTTACGTACGTAGAAAAGGACACAAATAAATCTCTGTCTTTTTCTAACCCATACTTTGCGTTCGCGAAGCAGTTGTGCTTAGGACTTAATGTTTGTTACGCATATTTTGTGGAAGAAGTAAACAAGTGAACTTAACCTCACTTTTTCTGATTGCCGGCATATATATATATATATATATATATATATATATATATATATATATATATCCTTATTAATAAAATCAGATGTCTGTCTGTACATTGCTTAAAACTTCAAAATGTTAACATGATTAGTTATTATGGACATCAGAGATTCCAAAAATGTTCTTAAAAAATTTAATGTATGTATGCATGTATGTATGTATGTATGTATGTATGTATGTTTGTCTGTCACAAAAACTTTGTACCCCAATCACACAAAAACATGTGAATCGATTTAAGTCCAACTTGGTAGGTTATTAGGTATTGACCCAAGGAAGGTTTATAAATTTACAGATTTAAAAAATATTAATTAGAACGGGAGATATTCAATTTTTTCAAAAAATTCAAAAAATCGAAAATTTCAAAATTTTTTATTTTTCATGGATTGCTTTTGAAGTTTATATACTTGAGTATTATATGTTATTTAGTCACATTATAGCATAACTTTGCAAAAAATAAAGTCCTATAACTAATATGTAAGTATAAAAATGTTTTCAAAAAATCGAAAATTTCAAAATTTTACATTTCTTATGGATTGCTTTTAAACTTTCTATATTTGAGTATTACATGTTATTTGGTCACATTTTAGCATAATTTTTCAAAAAATACTATTCTACAACTAAGATGTAAATATAAAAATATTTTCAAAAACTTGAAAAATGGAAAATTTCCAAATTTCACAATTTTGAATGGATAGCTTTTAAACTTTCTAAAAATGAATATTATATGTTATTTAGTCAGATTTTATCATAATTTTGCAAAAAATACTATCCTACAAGAAATATAAAAAAATTTTCAATATATCAAAAAATCGATACTAATTACTATATGAAGTATAATTCAGTAGTATTTTTGGAGTCTCTGATTAATATTTTGATGTCAAAATAGTGCAATTCAAAATTATTTATCAAATCAATCTAATATTTTCAAGAAGTTCAGAAATATTGAAAATGGAAATTTTTTATGATTAAAATGATTTCGCAGGATGTCAAGAATTGTAAGTCACCTGTGATACAATACAAGCATATTATGCCACTAGGCAAAAACTTACATGTTAAAACGTTTTTTCATTTTAACTCTAGATTTAACTTTAAGAGATGTTTTGAGCAATGTAAAGACAAAAGTTAACACGGTGTCTATTTTTGTTTAACAAAATTCCCTGCT